TTAACCTGGGCTAAATCCATTAAGAACTTATCTAATTTTTGCTGCGATTTCAGAGTTGTAGTTATGTTGCCATTAGACTAGATAATCTAAACTACTCCCAATTTGCTCTCCGCGATGGTCGCCCCTTGGCTTGAGAAAAAGAAAATCAAGAAAAAGCAACTGCTTTACCCCTGCGTCTTTATAATTTCCAAACTAAGCAAGTAGAAATAACCGCAGGGAAAACTGATATCCCCCACTACTTAGCTCTCTCTTACTGCTGAGGAACGGATTGAGAAAAACAACCGCAAACTTATGGTCAATCTTATCCCACTGATTTAACCCAATTAGGTCGCAAAGCCTTAAATAAAGCCATTGCCACTTGACAGTTAATTAACCAACAAAATCAAACCCCCATTAATCACATTTGAATCGATAATTTTTGTATTAATCAAACTGACAAAACTGAAAAAGGTCAAGAAGTTGCTAATCAAAAACAATATTACAGTAATGCTACTGCAACTTTAATTGCCATTGATGCTGAAATTGGAGCAGTAAATAAAGAAAATGAAGGAGAATTAGCCAAACATATTATTCAACAAATAGTTACTGCTCCCTGGTTTAAAAGGTCCTGAACTTTCCAAGAAGGTTTACTTTCTAAACAAACTCTGTTTATGTTTGATGATGTTTTGTCGATGGTCGAATCTTGGCTCAGTGATGAGGAGGGATTCAAAAAGATAGTGATTTATATCTAGAAACAACACCTACTATTTACACCACTCCTCTCGGTTGAAGTTATGTTGCTCAGCAATGGCAAGAAGTTAATTTAAGTCTCGGTCAAGCCCTCCAGGCCGTAGCTCATCGCCAACAAACTGTTCCAGTAGATGGTATTTATTCTATTTTAGGTTTATTGCCTTATGGGGATAAGGTAAAGGCTAACTACAAAAGTAAAAACTGTTCTTGCGATGAGGAAGTAAAAAAAAATTGTCAACACTGACCAACTTATAGTCAAGTAGAATTAGACCAAATTTTATTAGGAATAATAGAAGTAGCTAAGAAAAATAATTATCCAGCCGAAGTTTTATCTTGGTGAGGTGAACGACGTAATCAACCTAAATTATGACAAATACCAATTGTTAAAGTCGATGGCTCCACTAATGTTGCTGGTTCCAGCAAAATTGAAGCTGAACCTAATAGTTTAATAATAACTCCCCAAGGAATACAATTGCTTGGTGAAAAGATAAATTATTCAATATATCTTAATGATGAACTAATAAAAACTACCCCACTTTTTTGAATTTCAGTGCCTGAAGAAGATTCTCACCAACCAATTAAGATAGAAAGGCATTATTCAACCACTCGTGAAAAAATCCCCATCTTCATTGATATGCTCAATCAGCAAGCCATTACAGGTACAGAAGCTATCCAAGCTTATCAAACCCAACTAATTAATCCCCACTTACAAGCTGAACAAGAAGAACAATTTCAGCAAGAACAATTAATTAAACCGCTTAGTAAAATTACTACTTTTCAACCATTGTGAACAGGGTTAAATCTTTATGAAAATCAAACTTGAAATAATAAGAATATTTACGAATATCAGGAATGAATTATTAATTATGAATATCAATCCTATTACTACACCTTCGCCAACAATATTACTTGCCAAATAATCGAAAGTGTCAAAGGCAAAGCTGATTGAACTTACTTAATCCCGCAACAACAAGCTCAAATTGAACAACCTCCTAAATAATCATGACTAAAAAAGTATTCTTAGGTGGCACTGCCAATAACTCCACTTGACGGGAAGAATTAATTCCCTTACTAGACTCCACCACTAAAGTCTCTTACTTTAACCCGGTAGTGGAAGACTGAAACGAGCAAGCTCAGCAAGAAGAAATCCGACAACGACAAGACTTTATTCATTACTCAAGAGATGTTAGGCTTCTATTCCATTGCGGAAGTAGTTGATGATAGTAATAAACGACCGGCTAAAACTATCTTTTGCTACTTGGCGGAAGGATTTGGGGAACATCAACTAAAATCTTTAGTAGTTACCTGCGTGCTTAGTCCAAGCGAATGGTGCTCAGGTGTTTACTAGTTTAGCGGCAGTAGCCGAGTATTTAAATAGTGAGCAAGTAGTGGCTCAAGTGGCAGTCAACCCTAAAGTTGGTTGTTGACCTAGTTGTAAGTTAGGATAGGAGGGATTAATAAATCCCTGTTTAATTTAAATTATTCTTCTTGCAATTTACTAATTATTCAGCCTAAACTAAGCAAGACTATTATTACTCCGACTCCATAAAAGAGGAGAGTTTTAATGGTCTGCCAAAAACCCTTTTCTTCACTTACAGTTTGAGTTTTAACTTTCTTACCCGATAATTCTTTTATCTTCTCTGTCAATTCTTCCTCACTTTTTTTAGTTTGTTGTAATTCATTCTGTAACCTTTTTATTTCTAACTGTGATTTAGTTTTCTCTTGCTGAACTTTAGACCTTTCGGTGGCTAATTCTTTTTTTAATTTCTCTATTTCCGCGGAATTTCCTTGATTTTCCTCCTCTAAAATTTAATCCCGACCTAAAGGTAATTAGGTGAGGAATATTTACCTACTGATTTAACTTTCTGCTTGATCGTGAATTTTCTCATTATGTTTTTTTACCCCTTTTTTACTTTTAGCAATCTTTTCCGCAAAATTTTTTTAGATTTTCATAATTGATGTGTTAAATTCTATTTAATCCTCCAAATCTAAAACTATCTTTAATCCCTCCTTAACCTTTGTCATAATCTTTTCATCGACTTTTCCTAAATAATCTATTAAACGCAGTTCTTTTTCTACCGCTTTTACTCTTTGTAATAACACTTTACTGGGCTTATCTAATCCAGTTTCTTTGGAGTTTTTAACCAAAACTTCGTAGTCAGCAATTTCTTTCAGCTCATCGGAGGTAAAAGGAGCCATTATTATCTGGTCATCAAACTCATTTTGAATATTATTGCTAACTACTAAGGATGGTCTTATCTTATTAATTTCTTTTTCACTTTTGCGGTTGAAGTCCACTAATCAGATTTGCCCGCGGTGAGGAAATTTCGGTTTTGCTTTACTCATTATTTTATTCCGTCGGCTATGGCTTCTTCGCAAATTTTATCTTCTTTTTTTACTGCTCTACTGCGAGCAGTTTTTTTATAACTAGCAATTAACCTTTGTTGCTTTTTATTTTTCAAATGCTCTTTTAAAAGGTCATTAACAAAATGGCTAATTTGTCTTTTTGGAATATCCTTTTTTACTTTTTGATAAACCTCTGCTTCTATGGTTAGGCTTAAATGTCTTTTCATATGTTATAATTTTAGGCTATAAGTTATGCAGTGATGTTAAATTTTGCCAATTTTCTCCTACAATCTCCCTAATTTCTTATATTCCTTAAACTTGGCTCGTCTTAAAGGGGTCATTTTGTCCCTTTTTTGTTCTAAACAATTGCCGCATAATACTTTTTGCGGAACTTTTAAACCCCAAAATCTTGGGTCATTGCGGTTCTTAATTACGCCATTCTTGCCGGCTCCTGCTATCTTTGCTTCACAAATTTCACAATAAGCATAACCATAATTAGCAATATCATAATAAGGAGTGCGGGGCTTATTACTCGCCTCGCACTGACACTCTTTTTCCAATCTTTTTTTATTCTCTTTTAAAGAACTAGCAAATAATTCGTAGTTTTCTTGGCTTTCTTGCTCTAAACAAGCACAATTATTCAGGTGATTGCGGTCTTTTAGCCACTTTCTCGCACAATCGGCATTGACTGGTAAACATCGGTAATTCTCTAATCACTCGGCTAAATCTATTTTTCAGTATCTTTTATACCACTTACTTTCTCCTGAAAAACTAAGCGGACTAGTTGCTCCGCTTTTTTTTGCCATTCGGCACGGTTGACAGACTAGTTGGCTATTTTCATACAATTCATAAGCATCTACTTCTTGACTGCCGCAGTGCGGACAGTTCTGATAACTCCTTAAAAGTTGTAGTTGCTGAAGGTGGTTTTTTTTCTCTTGCTTTTTTCGCTGATAAACTTGCTGATAGTTGGAATATTCTTGGGCTTGTTGTTGTTTGCTTTGGTAGTAGCAAGGGCAACAATAACTTTTATGAAGACTATTGTCTTTCCAATTACTATCTCAACCAGTCAAAACTCCACAAGGTTTTCGTTGCCGACAACCAGCACAATAATAAGTTTTGAAGTGGTGTTTTTGTTGGTCAGTTTTATTAACTAGGTCTCTCATATTTTCTAATTCCTAATTTCTAGGTAAATAATATTCTTAAAGGAAATTATTAATATATTTTAGAGAATTATCACCCCCTATAGAGATATTGAAAAAAAATTATTTTTTTAAATGGTTTTATAAAGAAAGGATAGATATCTAATAACCTGATAATTGGAATAAGAGGATATTAGATAAAGGGAGTTTTTGAGGCTCCCTTTTTTCTTATTTTTTATAAAAAATTACAAACCTCTACGTCAGAAAAATGGATGATACTCTATTCTTTCCTCAATTTCATTTGCTCTTTGCTCAGCTCTTTCTTTTTCTCTTACTACCCGTTCAAATTCACTTTTTAAATAATAAATTTTTTCAGTAGTAGTTTTATCAGAAAAATTAGTTCCACAAACCGCAGATAAACCATAAAAAGAACTTAAAGCATCATCAATATAGGAACCGCCACTTCTCATTATTCTGCTTAGTGTCCTTTCATTTTCCGCTCGCAAATTTCTAATTTCTCTATCGCTATTTTCCCTAATTTGTCTTATTTGATATTCTTTGCTACTATCTAACTCTCTCATCAGTCTTTCTCCATTATTTCGCACTTCATTAATTTGCCTATTCATTTTTTCGGCTTGCTCTCTCATTAATCGCTCTTTTTCTTTAATTTCTTTCTCCAATTTCTCCTTGTCGCTCATATAATTGCCAATCCTTTGGTTCAAATTACCCAAATTATTTGGCTTATAAATGGTTTGACAAGTCCCTAAATGAGTAAGTAATATTTGCCTTGATTCCGCCCGAATTTCTTTAGCTAATTCTATAGCCTTTGGGCGACCAATCACCGGTGGATTATCAAGATAAATAACTTTTGCTGAGTTAACAATATTAGAAAGCCTTGAATTTTCTTTCCTCATCGCTTCCCTATCTCTTTCGCAGGCTTCGGGATTATCAAAATCAGGAAAATTAGTCCTTACTATTGTAGTAAAATTGACAACTTTTCCATCAAAAATTACTGAACTCAACAGTCTATATGCTTCTTCTTCCTTTTCAGTAAAGCGACCGCCACTCACAAAAAAGATTTGGTTCAAACCTTCTCCAATATGACTAGCCGCCTCCGCTAACCTATAAAGAACCCCTTGCGTGGTTAACTGTGTATCACCAATGCCCACAGTGTCAATTATTATCATTTCTAACTTTTCATTTCCATCTTTATCCAAATTTATTTCTACTCTCTCGATATGAATATTTCTTGTTTCACTTATACTTCCCGCACTCTCCTTGAAAACTTCATCAAAATTATTATTTTTATTAAGTAACACATTAGCCAAGGTAGACTTACCATTGCCAGTGCTACCAATCAATATTATTCGTTTTGTGTTTACCATAATTTTTATATTTTGTAATTTATTAATGTATATTCTATAAAATTGTTGTTTTGTCTTATTTTTTCTTTCTCATCCTAATTACTAAAAAAACAATAAAACCAATCACTAACACTATTCCAATACCTATTAAAAAACTACTAGGAGAAAAAGAATTGTTTTTTTTTTCTGGGTTTTTTTCTCCTATTTCAATCTTACTTATCCTTTTTTGTATTCTGTTAGCTTCTTTTGATTTGTTTTTACTTCTCAAAAAATCTGCTTCTTTTTGCAACTCATTTATTCGTTTCTTTAAACTTTCATTTAACAATTCATTAATGTTATCATCAATTTTAGATTTGTTATTACCGTTTTCAGAATTATCATCATTCTCTCGCCGAACTTTCCTTTTTGCTTTCTCTTTTATAGCATCTTCCCTAATGTTTTTAATCTTTTCTTGTTTTTCTTCATTGCTTTCTGACGAAAAAACAGAAGATAACTTTTCATCACCTTCGGAAAAAAATAATTCCGTTAAACAATCAAAATTTACAGAAGCCTCATCACAAAGCACCAATAAAAAATCCAATTCCTCATCAGTTAAATCTTTCATCTCTTTTCCAGAAAGATATTCACTTACATTAATATAACCATTAAGGAAAATATTTGTAGCAATTAGAACCTCGGTTTTTGTGATTTCCTCCTTACCGAAAATTTTTTCTTTTGCTTTAAAATACAATTCTGATAGTTCTTTTAAAGAAAGAGAAGGAGATTTAATTTTTTCTGAAATCTCCTCTAATTCTTTTTCGTTTGAAGCCATTTCAGATTAATTCCTATGATATATTACAACCTTTTTTTTTATAGTTGTTCCGAATATATTGGTTATCACTTTGTAAACTTTTAATTTTTTTGTTAGCCTCCTCGATTTGGGCAACATACTCATCATTTTTTTTGTTTTGTTCATCTTCGAGTTCTTTTTGCTTATCTTCTATTTCTTTTCTCTTTAAATCATCGATTTCTTTTTGGAGAGCCATTTCTCTTCTTAAACCATCTTCTTTTTCTTTCATATCGGCTTTTGCTCTGTTTTCAACAATCTCTTTATCTTTCCTTGCTCTTTCTTCCGCATCGGATCTATTTTTTTCTATTATTTCTAACAATTTTTCACTTAAATTGCCTTGATTTTGGGCGTCTCTTATTTGCTGGTCGGCTCTGTCTTGGGCTTCTTTTATCTTTTTATCACAATTATCACTAATTTCTTTCATTTTTCTATCTTGCTCCTTATTAAGATTATCTATTTGTCCTTGAAGTTTTTCTCCTTGTTCTTTCATCATTCTATCTTTTTCTTTTAATTCCTCTTCTAACTTCTCTTTCTCAGTTTTATAATTATTAATTCGTTCATTCATTTGAACTAGATTTTCTGGTCGATAATTTCCTCGGCAAGTTCCTAAAAGAGTTAATAATATTCCTCTCGAAACCTCCCTTGTTTCTTTATTTACAGCATTTCGACGAGTATTGCCACTATTTATTGGCGGATTGTCAACATAAATAATTCTTGCTGAATTAATTATATCCAGCAATTCTCCATTTTCGTCTTTTAATGCTCGACGATCTCTTTCACATGCTTCTCCGTTCTCGAATTCGGGGAAATTAGTTCGTATGATAGTTGTGTATTTAGATACTTCATTATCAAAAATAACCGACCTTAGCAATTTATAAGCAATTCTTTCTTCTTCTGTAAATCTTCCATTAGTTATGAATAAAATTTGGCTTAAACCTTGTTCGAGATACTCCTTTGCTTCTTGAATTGTTCCCAAAACTGCCCGTGGGGTTAATCTAGTATCACCTATTCCCACTGTATCAATCACTCGATATCTTATTTTCTCTCTGCCATCTTGCGTTATATTTTCTTCAAACTCCGCAACTTCAATCCTACGGGTTTCACTTACGCTATCAGCACTTTCTCTAAATCTATTAGTTCCACTTATTACATTAGCAAGAGTGGATTTTCCATTTCCGGTTCTGCCAATTAGCAGTATATTTCTTGTATTTACCATATTTTTGTTATTTGTTGTTAAATTTTACTTATACTTATTTCGCTAACTTAACTAGTTTAGCACCTAGACAATTAAGGAAATATTTTTTTCAGAAATACCAATAAGTTCCTTAATTGTTTTTGTTTTATTCTTAATTAGTATTCCTTTTTATCGTTTATTACGTCTTCTTTCTGCATATAGTTTTGTTCCTTTCACTTTTTTCTAATTCCAAAATATCATAGCATCATACTATTAGAAATTAGATAATCATCCATCACTAGCAATCTCAGAAAGGAGTGACCTTTCTTTTACTTATATTAACTTATTAACTCTTTCATCACATATAGGATAATAATACCCTATATATTATATTTTTATTTTCTTTTAACAAAAAATTAACCATATATGCCAACCCTCAACCTCAAAAATATCACCATCAAAAAATTAGAGGATAAGAATTTTTCTTTTCAGTCTAATTCAGTAGTAGAAAGTAAATTTACTTGTTCCTCTCCGTTATTTTTTAATTCAACCACTGAATAATTAAATTTCTGACTTGTTTGGGAATTAGCAAACAAAGATATTACTGGATAAGTAGTTATATCCGGAAAAACTTGCTGATGTTTAAAGTTATAAAGGTGAATTAGTTTTTTTCTTGGCAAATTTTCTCCCTCAAAGCCTTACTGCTAGAATTTTTAAGAAAAGAAGGGGTAATATAAATTAATTTACCGGTGGCGTTTAACTGTTGAAAGGACAAAAAATAAAATAGTAAATATAAGTTTACCATTCCTTTTAACTGTTGCTGAGAAATAATATTTTTGGTTTGTCCGTTTAAATTATGAATTTTAACATAGGGCGGATTACCCACCACAAAATCCATTTTTTTATCATAATCTTTTATGAGTAAAGCATCGGCTAGTCGAATATCATAATTGGCTGGGAATATAGAATTTAAGTTTTTTAGACATTTTTCATAAGAGTTAGACTCTATTTCTACCCCGTGAATATAAGTTTCTAAACCTTTTTTTATTTCGGTGGGGGACAGTTTTTTTTCCTTGGCTACTTCTACATATCTTTTAACTATACTCTTTAAAAAAGCACCGTCTCCGCAAGAATTATCTAATATATGTTTACTAAGCACATTTTCTCCTTTATATCCAACCGCATCAAGCATAAAATCAACTATACTAGTAGGAGTGGAAACTTGACCTAAATTTTTGATGTTATGGTTATTTTTCTTATCTTTTGTTAGTGTGATCTTCTCCTCTTCTTAGTGGTTGTTTTCTTTTTTTTCTTTTCGTGTCTCGGGTTGGTTTTTTAGTCATAATAATAAATATTTACTTTTTTATAGTTTTTCAATAATTCTTAATCTCTTTTTTGCTGTTTTCAATTTGGCTTTTTTGGTTTTAAAAGTTTTTTCGTGGAGATATTGCTCTTATCGTCATTATTTATTCTTCATACTTATTATTAGTAATTTGTTTTGGCTTAAACCTTGCTTTTTGGAATAAAGAAAATAATTTAGATGTTGAAAGTTCTGTTACAAAAATATTATGATGAGTTGGCAATATTCTATGTGCCTTACATTTTTGTGTTGGAACAACAGTTATTTCTTCACTAATCATATTCTTCCATTGTGAATCAAATTTTAACTTAATAACCATATCTAAAGCATTATCGTTAATAATAGAAGAACTCAATAACCATAAATTATGATTATCAATATAATCTACATCGAATGCAAGATGTAATAATGAAGCATTAGACCCTAGAGAAGTTTTTAATTTAAACCAAAATATATTATCATCAGGATCTATATATCCAATCGTGCCAGTTCCATTTGTACTATTTCCTAATAGTGTAAACCATATACCATTTGGTCCACTAATTAATCCAACAGGTGTTTCACCAATATTTGGGGATATTTTTATTTGTTTTATTTCATCATTTTGTGGATTTATCTTCATAATATAACTGGAATCATCTTGACTTGCATAAAACATATTTGTGATTGGATGGCGACCTATAAATATAGGGTTAGGGAATCCATTATAAACATTATAATCAGATATATTATCATGATTAATTCTTAGAACATCATGACTTTTTTTAAGACTAACCCATAATTCATTTCCATATTCACCAACATAATGAGGTCCAAATCCATTGTCAGGAACAGATATTACTTTTAAAATTTCTGGTGAATCATTTAAAGAATTAGATTTTGGGTCTATTAAAACAACTTTATTTTCATTTTCTAGTGTTATTCAAACATTTCCATAATAATATTCTGAAGATGCTAATCCATGTAAACCTGAAGTATTTTTTTCTATTTGGAAAGATGTTAAATTTTTAATTATTCCATTTTCATCTACTATAGCTTTTAATAATATACTATTACTCATTTGAGAAATAAGTATCACATTTGTATTTGGTAGTTTTATAATTTCATGTGTTTGTTCTGCAAAAGGTAATTGATTTTCTATTATGTATTTATTATTGGTATTATTTTTTTGTTGTATAGGTGTAATTTTAACGGCAATACTTGAATATATAAATAAAAGTATTGTAAATAGCTTATATATTTGTGTCATTTTAAAGATTTTTTATTAAATTATTAATTCTAATTGTTTTAGTTATTATTACTTTATTAATTATTTTTGGTTACCATATTTTAAATGCGCTTCATGTTACCATACTTTTATAACATTATAAATATTTTGTTTAAAAATACTATTGCTAACCTTTCCACTATTAGTTAACTGTGCTATCTAAACCTATCCTAGCCGTAGCATCCTAACTATTTAGATTAGATAACATTTCATCAATTACGGAAACTTCTCTTTATTTATGTTGTCTTTTTCATCTATATAGAAACTTTTTTTAGTAAGTATTCTATATATTTAATTTTATATTTTTTCAGCCAAATTCCAAAAATGCCACCAATCACTGGACTGTTCCCAAGCCATTTCTCAACCGGCACTGCTACCAATGGACTGGTTTTTGATAAATTCATTAAATCTATTTCGCACTTGCCGACTATGAGAGTGGCATAACCGCTTTTTTTTATCAAAAAGAGGCTTGTCGCAAGTAAGATAAATTATGGTTTGGGTTTTCTCATCTTTGCTGAAAAAGGAGCAGGGATTTTCGGATAATTCTTGGTTAATGATGGGTTGTTTTAGGTTTCTCCTTGTTGGGGAAATTTTCCTGAACTATTTGCTTTTTTTCTGAATTTATCACTGATGGCTGCTTCTCATAATTCTCCAACATTTTTTCCAATACTTCTACTAACTTCAAACTTTCTTTTTCGGCTATTCCTTTTACTTTTTCTAATCACTCTTTACTGACACGGGTGGCAAATTGTTCGGTGCGTCCAGTTTTCCGCAAAGTTCTTTTATCGACTTTTTCGCCAATTACTTCCGGCAATTGCAAGTTAGAAGTGGTTTCGGTCAAAGAAGGCGGAGCCTCCAACTTATGCCTTTTTAATTTTTGTCAGTCATTCATATAATTTATTTTATAGCTGCTAGATACTAGTTTTAATCTAGCGGCTAGATTTTAGCAATTATTTCTTTTACTAACTCTTTTGCTTCTTTCCGCAAAGTTTTGTAACTAACTTCACTAATGCTTTTTCCCTCATTTTGAATTAAGCGATAAGAGGCTTTTTCTTTGAGCGAATGAGTAAGAGCAGAATATCCTGCTAGCGTTAAATATTCCCGGGCGGCTTCCTCCTCGCTCTTGGTGGCTAAATGATTAAGAACAAAAACTAACTTCTTTTTGTTTATTCCGGACTTAACTAAGGCATGAAATTCATTAACGGATGGCTTTAAGTCGGCTAAACTGGCACCTGTGGGCTGAATTACTAAATTAGTTTGGCGAGCTATTTCTAATGTTCCTTGACTAGTGCGAGCCGGACCATCAATAATGGTTAAATCAAAATGCTTTTTTTTTTGAATAATTTCTTTAAAAGTATTAAAAGAATTGACAGTTAAATATTTATTCTTTGGTTGCCTCCGCTGGCTTCATTCCAGACTAGTTTTTTGTTGAGGGTCATAATCGGCTAGTAGAGTTTTTAATTTTTGCTGGCTGGCTTCGGTAGCGAGGGCTTGGCTTAAAGTTGACTTGCCAACGCCTCCTTTTTGGGAGATAAAAGCGATGATTGTCATAAATTAAAAATATCCTTCCTCTTCCAAGTAATCTCAAATATTAAATAACTCCATAAATCTAGTGTAAATTTGCTTCATTTCTTCCTTGGTTAACTTACCTTCATATTTCAGCAAACGAGATTTATTAACAGTGCGAATTTGGTCTAATAAAACTTTACCTTTGATATTATTAACCAGCGTCGGAGCCTCATAATTGTAAATTTTCTCAGTTTTCTTACTAGTAAGAGGAATAACCACAAATCTTTTTTTCCATCTATTTAAAAAATCGGTGCTAAAAATAACTCCTAAACGAGTTTTCATGAGTTCCGTGCCTTCGGTTTCTCGTCGGCTAACTCGGTAGGTGTAAACTTCGCCTTTTCTTACTACCAAAATTTTTTCTTTAACTATTATTAGTTCGCTCATTCTTCTTTGTCGTCCATTTCTTCTAATAATCTTTTTTCGGCTTCTAATTCTTTATCTTTTAGAGCTTTGCCATAATCAGAAAAAATATCAACTTTGGCTGGTCGGGCTTTCTTGAACTTCCTAATTGGTTCTTGGTAGATTTGCCCTTCGGGAATACTTTGTATTTCGTAGTTAATATGCTCTTGTTCTAAAAATGTTTTTATTTTCGGAATGTTTTCCTTAATGATAATTATTTCTTTCATATATTTATTTTACATTCTAGCGGCTATATTCTTTTTATTATCTAGCTGCTAGATACTAGTTTTAACCAAAACCAGTAAAAAACTGATATGGTTGACCTTATTTCTTCTTTTTTTTTGAATTAAATAATTAAATAAAGATTATAGTTGATTTTTTAATTTCTAATAACTTTGCAAGTTATTAAGTATTGCTTTTAAGAAGGATTATAATTTGGTGCCAATTCTGCAAATTTGTGTGAAAATGGGTGGTTTTGGGGCGGAAAAAGGGCATTTTTGGGTGGAAAGTGGGGGAATTTTTTCGTTCATAAATCCGTATAATTATTTTTTCACTCTTTCTCATTCAAAAAATTATTTCCGCCGATGTTTACCGCACACTTTATAACAGTCCAAAGCATCCTCCAACACTTCCACTAACTTCAATCTTTCCTCCTGCGATATCTTTTTTAAATCAGTTAACCATTCTTTTTTGACTCGGGTGCCAAATTGTTCAGTGCGACCATTTTTGCGTCAATTTCTTTTATCAATTACCATTTCAGGGGCTTTTAAGTTTTCGCTAGTTTCTTGGGAAGGAATTCCTAAACTTTTAATTTTCTGACTTCACTTATTCATAATATATATTTTTATAGCAGTTAGATTTATTTAGCTGCTAGATTTGTATAGACATAAAATATACATATGAACCAACCTAAAAAAATTAACTTGCGAGAAATAAATATTGAAAGCAAAAGTGATAGGCTTATTGTTTGAGATGATAATCTATTTAATTTTTTTGAGAAATGGAGAAATAGAAAATTACTCCCTCATTTATCAATTTGAAACAAAACCATACGACCCACAAACAAAAAGACTATGAATTTATGCTAACAAACAAGAAAACAAATTAAAATACATTTTCGAACTCAATAAAGAAACTCTTCGACCGGGGGAATTACCTGATGACATTTGTGATGATGCATACTGTTGCAAAAATAGGTGATGTTTTAATATAAGATTGGAAACAAAAGAGAGAGAAATATTAGAGTATGCTTATGAATTAACTTTCCTATATGAATTTAAAAAAAATAATAATTTACCAGAATTACAAAAATATAAGCACTGAAAAACAGGAAAATATCTTTTTACTCCTAAACTTACACGAACTCCTGTTTATGTTAGTTCCTATCCTGAATTAGTTAAAAATATAAAAACTGAAAAAATTTCATAACAATAATGATAATTATCGCCTTTATCTCCCAAAAAGGCGGGGTCGGAAAATCCACCCTCGCCCAAGCCTTAGCGGTGGAAACTACCCGCCAAAAAATAAAAACTTTACTCGCCGACTGCGACCCCCAACAAGCCACCAGTTATAAATGAACGCAATTGCGAAAAGAAAATGGTTTATCTCCAATTAATTGCCAAGTATTCCAACAAGTAAAAGATATTTGACCTTTAACTAAACAATATGACTTAATTATTATAGATGGACCGGCAAGAACTAGTAAAGGAACGGCAGAAATCGCTCAACGAGTTAATTTGCTAATTCAGCCGACTAGTGCGACCCGGGCGGATTTAGAACCTGCCGTGCGGGAGTTTAATAGTTTAGTCAAGCAGGGAATTCCCGCCAAAAAATTAATCTTACTTCTTAATAATTTAATCACCCCTGCCGAGGAAAAAGCCACCCGCACTTATTTAAAATTAACTAAATATCATTGCTTACCTTATGCCTTATATGCTCGGGCTTCCTATCGTCAAGCCCAAAATGAAGGCAAAAGTATTAGTGAAATTTCTTATCAGAGTTTAAGCAAGCAAGTAAAGAAACTTTTAGATAGTATTTTGGAGATATTGTAAATGTTGTCTTGGTTTCATGTCTAGCAGTTAGAAAAATATAGCAGTTAGATTTGTCTAGATTTTACAGCTAACGAATATTTATTATCGCCCAAGCAGTTTTTTATTACTACTTCCCCGATACCCCAATTAATCCTAGGGCTTAATTTTCCCATTTTCAAATTCACGCAAATTTCTTTATTTTTGGGTTCTAATAGTATTTTTTTTCTTTTTCTTTCTACTTCGGCTTTTTAGTGCTAATTTCTTACTTCTTAAATTTCGCACATCTGCGTTTGTGCTTAAATTTCCGCTCTCCTTTCTATTGGCTGTATTTTACTTCTAATTTCCCTCTCCGCTAATTCTTGATAAGTCTCCAAGTCATAATTTTTTTGGAAATTTAACCAGTATTCGGCACTCACGCCAAAATAAAAATAGAGGCGATAGGCTAAATCTACGGTCATACTCTTTTTTTCCGCCACTAAATCCTTAATAACTGACTTTTTTACTTGAATTTTTTTGGCTAATTCCTCCTCTTTCATATTCAAAGGTTCTAGGAACTCACTTTTTAATATTTCTCCTGGATGAATGGGTTTTAAATCTAGGTCTTTTGCCATAATAATAAATTGACTAATATGTTTATGTCTCTTATTATGTTATTTTACTAGATTTTTACTTGCCGTATCTTTTATTGTGGGGATTAATTTCAATTTCCTCAGCCTGATTAGCACCTTTTTTATCTCATTTAAAGATTATCCGATATTGTTCGTTAATGCGAATACTATGATAGCCTTTTTTACCTTTTAACTCCTCGGCATGATTACCAGGAATTAAGTATAAGTCGTTCAGATTAGTAGCATTAATTATGGAATGAAGTTTTTTATAACCTACTTTTTTTATTTTTTGGTATTTTGATACTCATTCGCCTTTTCAGAGGGCGTAAGCATCTTTATCTTTAAAGCGGTTGTTTTTAATTTTTGCCGTGTTATTAATATCTGTCATATAAAGGAGTTTTGGTCAAAATTTTCCAGTCAATTCTTACTTTGAAAACTTTCATCAAAGCTTTTAAAATACCTCATTTTCTATGTTGATTTTTGATATCACATAAAAATTTATTCCCCACCTTTTCCCTCCTTTATTCCTCCTATTTTAGACATTTACTCCCAACACTTTTGGAAAAATAAACCTTTTTTTACTCCAATTTTAGAGTTATTCCCGTCATAATGGCCAATTAGGTCGGGATTAATTTTTTAATATAGTTTATAAAATAAACTATCTTTTTTTATGCTCTTTTTTAAGAATATTTTTCAACCCTTACATAACGCTTAGCATAACAAAAATAGATTATGGTTAAAAGCAAAAAAGAGTTTTATTTTAGTAAGTGAGGATATACTAAAAAAGATTTTCAAAAATGAGGGAGAAAAGGCGGATTAGTTTTTAAACATTCTTCGGCGGCAGAAAGACAGAAGGCTTACCGGCGGAGGAAAATGCAGGCAAGGATAGAGGCTGGATTAGTGAAAGGAGTTTTGAATTTGGAGACAGGGAGGGTGAGGAAGTGGAGGAATGGGGCGAGTAGGCAGAGGGGATGGAGAGAGGAGAAAAATTAAGAATTACGTGGTAGTTATAAAATAAGACTTAAAACGTTTCAAGAAAATTATTATTAAAACCACCAACCCTAACCCAACAACAATTTTTCCTCAAGGCATGCCTGCTTTCTCAGAAACAACATTTTGCTCCAAATTTTCTTGCCTTTCTTGCTTTTGAAGTTCAGTTGATTTTTGTTCAAACCAATTTTGCTCTTTTCCTAACTCGGACTTCAATTCCATTTCGATTATCGTTAAGTAGTTCAATGGTTTTTTTCATTTCGTCAAGCGTTAGATGGGTCTTATCTTTTCAAATATGTTTAACTACCTTAAAAGTTTCATAATCACTAGCAAATAATTCAAGATTTTCACTTTCTAGTCTATTTTCAAGTTTTAAATACCTAATAATATAAAAACTAATTGCTAATTCTTTATTTTCCTTAATGACATTAATTAAAGAAAAATAGTCTTTGGCAAAAAGTTTTAAAATATCTTCCTCAGTAGCCAAATGCTTCTGAAATTCTGCACTAAGTTTTGCCGAGAGTTTTCTCTTCGAAGAACTATTTAGCGACTGAATTGCTTCTCCCAATGCCTTGATAATTCCCAAAGTTAGCGAACTGAAAGCGTTTCCGCCAGCACTAATTAATTTACCCTTTTCATCGGTTTTGGCATGCTTGCCAATATTAAGAGAAGCTTCTAGTTTATCACAAATTTTTGCAGACTTTCAATGGTTATTTGTCGGGTATTGAGGAAAAGTTCTTTTGCTCCTAGATAATTTTTAAATTTGGTGAGGATTTCTTGCTCTTTTTCTTTATTCACAATTTTTAATTAAGGCTAAGTTGATTGGGGTTTTACTCATATTATTTATTTTAATAACAAGTTGGGAAGTAAAATTTACTATTTTTTAATCTATATTGTAAGCTCTACTTTTCCAAAAATGCTACCAATTTGAAAATTGTTGACTGTTTAGTGTGGTATAAAAAGAATACTTTGGGATTAGGGACTTGACTGCGTTCTAATGCCGAGTTTTGTTTTTTACTACAAAAATATCCCACTACTGGTAAAAAGTTTACTAATCGTTCTTTTGGGACAGTGTGGGAGGAAGGTAGTTTGCCTACTAAGCAAAGGAAACATCCTCATCAGAAGCCACGGGAGTTAATTAAAACGTTAATCATGGCTACTACTCAGGAAGGAAATTTGATTGTGGATCCCTGTGCGGGAAGTTTTATTGTGTTAGATATTTGTCAAGAGTTAAGAAGGGATTATTTAGGTTGTGATTTGACTTTTAATGAGATGGGGGAGTTTATGAGGAAGTAATTTGCCTAATAAATTTTGGAACTTATTAGCTAAGGGGAAGGCACGTCAACCTTTCCCCAGTTTTTTTTAATTATTACTTTTGGGAGTAAACTTCTACCTGTGCTTGTTGTTCTTGTAAGATTGCTAATTCTCTTTGTGAGTTAGTAAGAGCAACTTGAACTTGACAAATATTATCTAATTCTTCTTTGGTTATTTTTCTTTCCAATAATTCCCTTTCCGAAGTAGTTAGGGCTGCTTGGTTATTCAAAAACTTTTGCAGAAGTAACTCGCGCTCTTTATTCCTTTTTTCTTTTTCCTCAGCGGATCAATTTTTACTTTTTAGTTTATCCTTGGCTGAATTCTTTAATCCTTCCAGTTGATTTTCTAAACGACGAATTTTAGCTCCAATTTGCTGCTCTTGATAAAAAAGACTAGCTTTTTCTTCACCAAGCTTAGTTTTGAGTGTGTCAAACTGTTCTTCTCATTCTAATTCTAATTGTCGATGGTTTTCACTGAGAGCATTGATAGTTTCTTCCATACTTTCTAGGGTTAATTTTCTCTGTTTTCAAACATTCTTGGATTCCAGAATGCTGAAAATTTCATAATCAGTATTAAAAGCACGGGCTTTGCCATCTCTAGTTCTACCTCTTAAGTCGAGAATATTAGTGCCTGATTTAAAACTAACTAGCGAATCATAGTCTTTATGAAGTTGAATTAATTCTTTTTCATCTTTAAGGGAAATTTGAAATTCTTCATTACCCTTTTCAGCCAGCACTATTTGAGAGAAAGTGCTTCCTAATTTAATTACTTCTCCGATTGCTCCAGTAATACCAAAAGTTACGGTGTCAAGTACTCCACCCACGCCACTTATCGCACTGCTTACTTCTCCGATAACTTTACCTTTACCAAACTTTTTTTGTAAGTCGATAAAACATTTTTGTAATTCGCCAATGGTTTCTTGACGGGCATTAAGGAAAATTGACTTGGCTCTTAAAAAAGTGATTGTTTTTTCATTGATCGGAGTTTGCTCAATTTCTTCCAAAGAGTGTTCTTGACTCAACTCCTCAATTTTTTTCTGTCTTTGTTCAGCTCGGGCTTTGGCTTCGGCTAATTCTGTTTCTAGTCTTTTAATTTTTGCTTCCGATTCAGCTAGATTAGTTTCTAAATCTTTTTTTACTTCTTTTAATCCTGCTACGCCTTTCGTTAGATTCAAGACTATTTCCTTAGTTCTTAGTTGTCCAGAAGCTTCTTTTATTTCTTGGTCTAACTTACCTACTAATTCTTTTTGGGTTTCTTTAGTAACTGAAGTCATGATTCCTTTTAGTGTTTCATATTTTTGTTCTAAAGAAGGGAGTTTGGTATTGTCGCAAGAGAATTTTTTTAAACCTTTGGGTAAGAATTCTGAGCCGGAAGCAAGTTCAAGGTTGCCATCTACTTCCAATCTTTGTAAATTCGGTAAGTTTTTTGCAAACTCCAAGCTAGTTAAAAGATTGCTTTCAACATTCAATTCTTTGATTTGGGAACAATTCTCAATCGCTAACTCTTTTATTCCACAACCTCGGATAGTACATTTTTCGAGTTGCGGTAAATCTTTAAGAGTTATTTTATCGATACTTGAAACATTATACAAGTATATTTCTTCTAATTTGGAATAATCTTTAATAATTAGTTGTCCTTCAAATTTTTTACGTTTAATTTCTATTTCGTCTATTTCTTTATCGTTAAATTTTTCGTTAAATTCGTTTTGATTTTTTACCATAGTGTTATTTAATTTAAAAATATTTATTTATTAGTAGGGATTTCAACTTGGGCTTGTAATTGTATTTTTTCTAACTGTTTCACTAATTCATCAACTAATTTTTCACAATGACGAGTAACTTTTTTTATCTCCTCTCGAGAAAAGTCTGTTTCTTTAAGATTTTTTTTCAATCTTTCTTCTGCTTCTTCAGCGTTAGTTATTGCTACTTCATCTGCTTGATTTTTGGTTGCTTTTCGATTGGCTTTAATAAATTCTTTTACTAATTCTTTTTGCTCATCAGTGAATGATTTGCCTATTTCTTTTGCTAGTTTTTTTAGTTCTAGTTCTATGGCTTGCTGTTGCCGACCAGGATTTTGTAATAGAGTGGCAATTTCTTTGGTATTGATTAGTTTACTATGTCAAACTTCTGAGGATTGGTAAGTAGGGTATTTAATTGCCTCAGGTAGAGTTTGATTAAATTTTTCGGCTGCTCGATATTGGCGGTAGAATTCAGTGTTTGTTTTTAATCCTTTTCAACTTTCTTCCTCAAACCACTCTCCTACTATACTATTTACCTCCTTAGCACTAGGTCTATTCTTAGGTTCTTGCTCTCAGCACTTAGTAATTAAATCTATTAGTAATTGGGGATATTTAACTTGTTGAGGAGTTTTAGGATTACTAAAACTAGGTCTCATGCCTTGACAAATCTGTAAGGCTAAATTAACATTATGAGCATATTCATGAAAAGGAGGTATTCCAGTAATTATTTCATACATAATCATGCCTAAGGAATAGATATCTGATGCTGGGGTATAAGGTTTGTTTTGTAAGACCTCAGGGGCTACATAAGGCATTACTCCGAAGATTTTGTTGTCATCTTTTTCATTGACTGGTTTAGCTAAGCCGAGGTCGGTGATGTGGCAATTATCTCTATCATGTTTATCTCTATTAACAATAATATTCCCACTATGGAAATCACGATGAACTAAGTTCTTGCGATGGATATCTTTGAGACCTTGACTGATTTGTTGCAGGAAATGCAGTTTGCTGTTTTTTTCATTTTCATCATAAAAATTTAACTTCCGATAATTCTTCTTCAAAAACTCTCTTAAATTACCTGCTTCCATATACTTCATGACCATAATATAATTACCTGCTGGGTCTTGGGAAATACCATAACAAGGCACCATCTGACTAACTGAACTCCTAAACATTTTATAAAGAGTTAGTTCAGTTAAGAATTCTTGGTTGAGATGTTGAGAATTAGTGAGAGTTTTGAGGGCAACTGTGTTATCTCAATATTTTCTTTCTCACTTCCCCTTTTCATCATCTCATTCTTTAATAGAACCCTCTACTCATTGAGCTTTATAGACTTGACCGAAACCACCATCAGCAATGTGTTCTATATTAATAAATTGTTCGTAAGGAATTCATTCTAAGAGATTTCAAGCACTAGTGGCTTCTAATTGACATTGTTGAATGAATTTATCTATTTGAGGATTGCCACTGGTTCATCTCTTAAATTTCTTTTTAAAATGTTTGGCATTACAAGATTGACATCATCTTAAACTAGTATTGGGTTGTTGACATTCCAAACAAGTTCTAAAGTTTTCATAATTATTCCCTAAATCTCTAAACTCTTCTTCATTTTCCAAGGCTCGGTCTAAATCTAGTTGCTTGAAGTTGAGAAATCAGTTAATGAATTCAATACCATCAGGTTTTGCTCCTGCAAATATTCATTCCTTAGTCTGTTCTTTACTAAACCTAGCATCTAATCAGCCTTTTTTATATTTAGGAAGAGAAAAATCCTCATGGATATCTTTTCACAATTCTTGTTCTAACTCGGTTTTAGTTTGGGCTAATTGACAGTCAGGTCTTAGCTCGGTGTCATATTTAAACTCTTTTAAACTAACTGGCAAATATTCTCAACCACTGGATAGGTCAGTATTTTGAATATATAATTTCCCTAACTTATTCAAATCCTGGCAAGGTTGACAACTACCCACCCAACGATTATAAATATCTTGATTGATTTTGTTTTTATTTGTATTACTAATATTTAACAATTTTAAATTCCTCAACTGACTAAAAATAGTCAGGTCAGCAGTAGGGAAATTGTTATTTCTTATGTCTAAAAAAGTTATTTTTTCTTGATTAGTGGGATAAATTATTTGAGTGAGGTAATTATCAGAACAAAAAAGTGTCTCTAACTGTTGGCAATTACTTAAATTAAGAGTAGTGAGGCAATTATTAGAGCAAGCTAATGACTCTAAATTCGGAAAATCAGATAAGTCGCAGTCTCCTTCTAAGCCTTTTTCCCTTAAATCTAACCTTGTTATTTCGGTTCTGGTTTTGCCAAAGTTGTCAATATCTTTACTCTCATTCTTTCTTATACAAGTTCCATTGCTCGGATAGTTTTGGTCTAATCAAGTTTCAGCCAGTTGACAAGGGATTATTTGGGTTTTACTTCAATAATAAGAATCTTCTTTTATCTCGAATTTACTGCTATCAACTGAGGTAGAGATAAATATATATTCTAAATCTTTATACTCTTGACAATCAAGCACTCCTTCTAACTGTTCGTTTAGGTAGATACTTTTTGTTCACTCATCAGGATAATTTTGTTCTAGTCAGTCTTGGGCTTTCATAATAGTAGTTTTACAGTTTTTTAGCAAAAAACTAATTTCCACTTTTATTCATTTTTAGAATCTAAACTCTTTGTTCCAAAATAACCTAAGGTAATCATCTCACTATCATTAAAAATGGAATTAGTTGGATGACTAACTAACATTTCAGTTTTAACACTAATAAATATGTGTATTTGTCATAACTTTTTCTCTCCCTACAATTTTTTTAAATTATATTTTATATAGTTTTGTCTGGTCCTGGTTGTTAAAAATTAATATAAACTCCTTCATGAATAACAAAATTCGCCAACTTTTTCCTCTTTCAGAGAAAGTTCGTAATCCTTGATTACTCTCTTTTCCTCTTTTTGCTCACCATAAAAATCTGGTTTATTTAGATAGTGCCGGCACTAGTTTAAAACCCAAAGTTGTTATTCAAGCCATTAGTAATTATTATGAAAAATACTCTATTAACAGCCATAGTGAGGGCAACAATTCTTTATCTAATGAGGTTCGAAATACTATTGACCGAACTCGCCACCTAATCGCTCAAAGAATTAACGCCCAAGCCGAAGAAATTATTTTTCTGCCTTCCACCACTTATTCCTTAAACGTTTTGGCTTTGTCTTTGAAAAATTATTTAGAAAAAGGAGACAAAATTGCTCTAACCCATTTAGAACATAGTTCCAATTGCTACCCTTGGCAGGCTACTGCCCAAGAAAAAGAAGCCGCCATAGTTTTTTTACCATTGACCAAAAACTTTATAATTGATGTTGATAAATTAGAAAATTGCATTGATAAAAAAACTAAATTAGTCAGTTTTGTTCATCTGAGTAATAGTCTCGGAGTAATTAATCCAGTTCAGGAAATTACGGAAAAAATTAAAAAAATAAATCCGAATTGTCTAGTAATAGTTGATGCTTGCCAAAGTATCGCTCATTTACCGATTAATGTCAAAGAATGGGGTATTGATGCCTTGGTTTTTTCCGGACATAAGGTTTATGGACCGACTGGAATAGGTGTTTTGTGGTTAAAAAAAGAAGTAGGACAAAAATTACCTGATATATTGTGAGGAGGCGGAAAAAGGAATAGTCCTTATGAGAAAGTAGATAATTTGCCTCTGGCTCAAAAATTTGAAGTCGGAACATTGCCCCTAGCCCAAATTTTTGGTTTAAAAAAGAGTTTGGAATTTCTTGATAGTTTAGATATTAAAGAAATAAGCAACTATGAAAAAGAATTAAAAGAGCATGCTTTAAATGAATTAGCCAAATTAAAGAAAATAATTATTTATAATAAAGGCTTAGAAACCGTTGATATTATTCTTTTTAATTTGCAAGATTATCATGCTCATGATGTAACTGATTACTTGGGGAAAAACAATATTTGTGTCCGAGCTGGTAATTTTTGCTGTCCTTACTTAAAAGAATTAATCGGAGTAGAATCATCAATTAGGATTTCACTTTTCATTTATAATACCAAGGAAGAGATTAACGTGTTAATGTATCATCTAAAAAAAATAGAAAAACAGCCTGAACTGGTTGTTGATTTTTTAAATCCAAATTAATTGAGGAATTATTTTTGCCCTTACTTGATTTATAAATTCAGCGTTACTTCTGATCAGTAAACTTGGACTTACTAATTTAAAAATTTTAGGTATGTTTTGGCTTGTTTAATTCCGCTACAAAATTCTCATTCTTGAACTAATTTCGGGTGGGGAGTTGTTCGCTATGAAAAGTTTTTGCTGAAAATAATCTGCTTTTTTTAGTGCCTTATTAATTAATTAAGGAAATGGGAAAACTTGCCAAACAGAAAAATGACAAAAAAAACATTTATAAAATTTATATTATATGTACGTATCTTTGTGACATTAGAAGTAGAAGGTTAAAAAGTTGGAGAAATTTTACAGAAAAAATCCCTAAACCAACTAGGTGATTGGGAAATTTATTAAATCAAAGAAAGTAGAAACAAAAAACATTATATTTTAAAATCAAAGCAATAAACAATAAAAAATTATGCCAACGAGAACGAGAAATGCTGCTCCTATAACCATAGAGGAAGTAGAAAAATACATAGAAGAGATTAAAAAAGAGCCAGGCAAAACTAAAAAAAATTTCAAGTTGGTGAAATATGGTAGTTATCATCTACTGTGAAAATATTTAGAAAAATTAAATGATGAAAGAAAAAATAAAATCAGAGAAATTGCTGATTTAAATAACGGAACCAAATTAAAAACCACGAATAATGAAATTAATAGTTTAAAAAATGACATTCATCAAAAGGAAGCCAGAATAAAGACACTTACAAGTAATTTAAAAAACATTGACCATTGGAAAAACAAACACGATTTATTATTGGCTGAAAAAGCAGACAAAGAGAAGGAAGTAGGTGATTGAAAGGCTGAGAATGACGATTTAAGAGTTGAAATTAATAAACTAAAAGTTGAAAATGCTAGATTGCAAAGAAGGCAAGATTCTGGTTATGGCGATACTCCCCTAGAAGCCGGAGGTTATAAATACCTTCTTGATGAAATTAATGAATTACAAAAAGGTATTGGTTTATTAGGAAAAGAAAAGCAGACCCTAACTACTGAGCGTGATAATGCTCTCCAAGAAATAGCCCGATTGAAAAATCATACTTGCTCCACCAGTGGGATAGATGATTACTTTATTAAAAATTTACGCCAGCAGTTAGACCAGGCAAGACGGGAGAAAAACCAGGCTGAGGAAAATTTACAAACCGAACGAGAAGTGCAAGCTCAAGCTCGACAAGAAATTAATAGCAAAGTTGAAGAAATTGAAGCAAATAAAAATCAAATTGTGGGTCTGACTAATGAAAAAAATGAATTTCAAGAACAATTAAAAAAATTAACAGCTAAAAATACTGATTTAGAAACTGATTTGGCAGCCGAAACCCGAGCCAAAGGCGAAGTCAAATCTAATTTAACTAATACCCAGAAAGAGTTAGAAAATAGAACCAAAGAGGTCAATAATTCCCAGGAGCAGATTAATACTCTTAATAATCAGTTAAAAAATACACTTCAATCTTTATATGATTTGCAAAACGAAAATAAAGAATTAGTTAAAAGGCCGTTATTAGTAGACTATCAAAAACTGCAAGTTTCCTTAGCAGAAGCCCAAGATTATTTAACTGCTGAACGGGAAAAAGCCGCGGAAGCTTTAAAATCCTATAAAGAGCAAGCTGAGCAGATTAATACTAAGTTGACTGCCGAGAATGCTGAATTAACTGAAAATCTAACCAAGTACCGCACGGAGTTAGAAGAGAAGGTTGTCGAAAATGAAACTTTGACGGCTAACCTAGAAGAAGCGGAAGGTAATTTAGCCTTAGCAAAAGAAGAAATTAGCAATTTACA